CTTACCCTAACCTGATGTCAGACCCACTCTACAGCAGTGGCACTATGCAGTGTTTGTCCTATTGTGACGAGATATTTCACCCAGCATAATGTCCTCAGGGGTCACCCATTTTGAATAATATTGCATGAGTTCCTTGTTTTTCAATGCAGCATAGTATTCTATTGTGTGAATATACCACAGCTTCTCTATCCATTCGTTTGTTGATGGGCACTTAGGCTGTTTCCAACTCCTTGCTATTGTGAACAAAGCTGCAATAAACATGGGTGTGCATTTATCTGCTTGGATGTCAGTTATGGTCTCTTTGGGATATATTCCCAATAGTGGAATTCCTGGGTCAAATGGTATCTCTATTTGCAATTTTTTGAGAAAGCACCATACCGCCTTCGCCAGTGGTTGCACCATTTTACACTCCCACCAACAGTGAATAAGGGTTCCAGTCTACCCACAACCTCGTCAGCATTTGTTGCTTGCTGTTCTGTTAAATTTTGCTGGTCTTACTGGAGTGAGATGATATAATTGAGCAACACAGCAAATAAGCGTAAATAATCCAATTGAAAAATGGGCACAGGATATGAACAGACACTTTACCAAAGATATTCAGATAGTGAACAAGCACATGAAGAAATGTTCAAAATCCCTAGTTCTAAGAGAGATGAAAATCAAAACAACTAGGAAAATAACTCATTTGTAAGATGTACCTGAGCCTTAGTGGCACGGTGAGTAAGCACTTGGCTCCAAACCAAAAGGTTGGCAGTTAGAATCCACCAGCCGCTCAATGGGGGAAAATGTGACTGTCTGCTTATTTAAAAATTTACAGCTGTGGAAACCTGATGAACAGTTTTACTTTCTTCTGTTATCCCAATATGTATTGGAATCTGACCATATCTGGTTTAAGGCATAATCGCTTATAGTTCAGAGATCTTTATCCCAGTCAAATGTTATTATTAAAGAATAAAAGTAGTATTTGACAGACTCTGTAATACTTTATTAACTCTGATGGTTTAATAAAAGATAGTAGGCATATTAAAATTATTATATTCTCCTCTAAAATTCCATGCCTATAAAAAATGTGTAACATAAACCCAATAAAGGTGTCTTCTTTTTTCTACTTAAATTACTTGGCTGTGGTTTGTGCACATGGCATTTCACATATTAATCTTTGCCCACCTGACAGCACTTTATTAAGTGGGCACTTTTCATTGAAGCCAGCTATGATTTAATGAAAAGACAGTGGAGTTGTTTCAGAAGACCCTTTAGCATTTTACCTCCTTAACTTTGTGACTTTGCGCAAGTCACCAGAACTATCTTCCACTTTGTTGTTTGCACTTGTATTTTCATTAATGTAGCATTCTTCCAATATAATTGTATTAATCTAATTATTTAGTGCATCTCATATAAAAGAACTCCTGTTTCTCAAGTATCTTTGGCTGTCTTACTTAGAGTAATACACAGTTTCTACACATCAGATGGCACAACAACTTTGCAACAATACTAAACTAAAGGCTGATAGTTCAAACCCATCTGGGAAACATCACAGAAGGCAGGCCTGATGATGGACATCAGTAAACATTACAGTCAGGAAATCACAATGTGACAGAGTTCTACTGTGAACACAGCATTTCTACCACTGGGTGATAATGAATTGCAATCACTGCATCAACATTTTGTCTGTTAGCTTGTTTTTTCTAAGGTAAAAAAAAAAAAATCTAGAAAGTAAGAAAATTACCTCCTTGGAACTTTTAACCATAAATATAAACTAGTGGTAAATATTGAAAATGTTTATTTTTTAAAAATAAACCTTGAACCCCTACCATGTGCCATACATAGTTGGCTGTATCTGAGATGCAAAGATAGGCCTTCAGGAGGTGTATAGTTCTGTCAAGGATGTGGTCTTTAAAAACTGCACTATAGAGAAGGAAGAATTCTCAACATAAAGACACTGAGTGATTGAAAGCTTTAAAAGAGGAAGAGCCGACTGCTCCAAATGCTTATTACATCACACATCATCAGTTCAGTTGATATTCCCTGAATTTAGGATTGCATCTTTTGTATATGTAACACTGCTATCTACTTGTTGTCATGAAATCAATTCTGACTCATGGTGACTCCATGAATGTCAGCATAGAACTGTTTCTCCACAAAGTTTTCAATGGCTTATATTCTGTAAGCAGATAACCTAACATTTCTTCTGAGATACCTCTAAATAGACTTCAACATCCAAACTATGATAAGCAGTCAAATGTGTGACTTGTTTGCCACAGACAAGGATACATAACATTACTCAACTCCGATTGCCTTGAGTCAGAACTTATAAACAGCTGATTCTCCAGCACATTTCTGAGGCTGTACTTTGCATAAGAAGTGACTGTCCATCTTTCTCCCACATAGTCCCTGGTGAGTTTGAATCACTAGAGAGTCACAGCCTTTCAGTTACCAGCACAACTCCCTATGGGCTACACCACCAGCATTCCCTATAATACTACTGAGACCCACTTAATTTAGCTACTCTCTGGTATTTTTAGTTTTACCCCTAGAACATAAGTATGTATGAGATGTGGCCAGTATAGAATTTTCAGAGAAATTTAATCTACACATTTTACTCTAAAAAGGCAATGTAGTAGTATAATATTCTAGAACACCACCAAACACCCAGGGAGTTTTAACTTTATTAAAAGTTAGAGTCCAGAATCTAGGTATTTGGAATATATGCATTATATTTTTGTAAGATGAAAGAAAGACACTATTACCTTATTATAATATGCAGTTACAAATGATTGAAATATTGAGGTATATACATATATATTTTTTGTTATGGTGAGAAAAATTTATATTTAGAATTAGCTAGGTGGACTCAGTTTAGATGATCCCAATTTTGTTGGCAACATCCAAAGCATCATAGTCAGGCGTAAGTCGAACATAAGCCTTCTTCTCGCCATCAGGCCTAATCAAAGTGTTGACCTTAGCCACATCAGTGTCATAGAGCTTCTTTACAGCTTGTTTGATTTGATGCTTGTTGGCTTTGACATCCACAATGAACACAAGTGTGTTGTTATCTTCTATCTTCTTCATGGCTGACTCAGTGGGAAATTTGATGATGGCATAGTGGTCAAGCTTGTTTCTCCTGGGGGCGCTCTTTCAGAGGTATTTGGGCTGCCTTCGGAGTTTCAGTGTCTTAGGCCGCGGAAGGTGAGTGACATGCGGATCTTTTTTTTGGGCTGTGGACGCCCTTCAGGACTGCCTTCTTGGCCTTTAATGCCTTTGCTTTGGCTTTAGTTTTGGGAAGGGCAGGGGCTTCCTTCTTTCCTTTCTAAGTCATCTTCGTAGAAAGCTATTGAGGTATATTTTAAATAATTTTATTTGCAACTTACAATGATAACATGCCTAATTAGGGAAGCCTTGTAATGGTACACAACAACAACAACTGCATGTTACAGGTTATTATGGGAATGATGAAGTATTCCATAGGTAGTCCAAAGGTAGCTTATCTCTGATGTTGGAGTCTTCCAATTACTCCATGAGAGAAAGATGGGCAATCTTCTACTGCGTGATTTACAGCCTCTCAAAAATCCGCTGGAGGGCCAGCTATGAGTAGTTTCTAATTTGATAACAATGAGATTGTGCATGTCTAATTGAGCTTTTGAAACAAATTGAACCCATTGGTTTACAAATACATTCTGACTACAATGGAGAAAAGTATGTGTTAACTGGAAAAGCCACCTTCAGCCCACCTTTTCTCTCTTTTTAATGGCTTAAACTTTATTCCTGTTGGATCATTTATACAATTACATATAATTTCAGTGCATCCATTGTAAATTTTAATTTTTTTCCATTTTCCAGTGAGTGGTGTGTTGGGGCATATTTTGCTATGTCTACCAGAAAAGTGAATCCCCAAAACTGACATATAAGAAATTTTTTAAGGTTGACCTAAGTAGCAAACTATATTTAAAAGAATATTAATAATGATAGGGTTAACAACAACTTAGACAATTTAGTTCCTAAAGTGCATTTATATATTACTTCATTGAATTAATCCTTACTTTATTTTTTCATTTAATAACATGTACTGTGCTCTTAGTTCAGTTGTATAGGAATAAAGATGAGTGTTTAGTGTGTGCATAGATGTTTTCCTAGACTTATGGAGCAGTGGTTCCACCCACAGTTAAATATGCTTAAATTGAAAAAAAAAAATTACAGCTACCTCAATCCTATAAGTAAGTCTGGGCTTCTTGTTGTAAAGACAAGCCCTGTTTTCTTTTATTGTGAAGAGCTCCTTGAAAGCAGGCACTATGTTGGATTCAAAGTTATTTATCTGCAGCACACACATACACACACACCACACCCTACACACGTACAACCTGCTTTAAGCAGCTCATGATCCGTCCAGAAGACAGCTGCATGCACAATGTATTTGGGCAACAGGGTTACAGGTGCTTCTGTTAGTAGCAAACATGGAAGAGATACACACACAGCAGGGAGGTTTCTGAGTTTCCTGGTTGCTGGGGAAGCTGATTTCTCTCTCTCTAATGACAGGAGTTATCTTTGAACTCAATTTCGAAATTAAATAGAAATCAAGTGAATAGCACATTAAGAAAGGGCAGCTTTCTTGCATTCACCTTGTAAAAGTTTCCCGTTCTCCCTGTGTGTTCCCTTCACCTGCCGTAACGTATCTCAAGTTCTGAGGATGGTACGGTCTTCTCCTTATGCATTACGCCTGCTCTAGCTAGGTTGAAGTACCTCTGGGAAGAAAATGAAGTGCTGGTTTTGTTTGTAGGTTTAGGGCTGAGCGAATTGAGGGTGTGTCAGAAACCAACCAGCCCAGTCTCCAAGTCATGCTAGTCCCTGGCATGCTTTTTTCAAGGCTTTCTTCATTGTAACTGGTCCCTGATGGTAATTGGTTGAATCAGATTTAACAATGCAGGCAGATAAACAGTTGTGGCAGCTGCTGCCATGGCAACGTCACCGTCCTCACCCTCCCAGTGCGTGCCCCTTCCCCACCCCTCCTCCCCCTCCTGCTTTCCTCCAGCAAGTGCACACTCGCTAGTGGTCTGAACCGGCGGCAGGGTTTAATGGCAGAGCTATTTTCTTTCCAAACTATTCAAAATGATGAACGAAGATGCAGCTCAGAAAAGCGACAGTGGCGAGAAGTTCAATGGCAGTAGCCAGAGGAGAAAAAGACCCAAAAAGGTAAACGCTGGGATTAAGAATGTCTGCATATAAATGTATATGTGTGAATGTGTAGTATCAGTACAACTATAGACACTGTGAAGCATTCTAGGAGTCACTAATGGTCTATATAGTAGGGCAAAGCATTATTTTTAAGAGGCAGGTATGAGCTGTTCTTGCCTTTTGTGAATATTCATGGAACCACAGTTCCTAATGGATCCATTCACCAGAGCTCCGGAGAAGTGAACAGAGAGATAAGGAGTGTTTAGCATATGGATTATTGAGGATTGTGGGTCCTGATGGATGCTTTGGAGAACCTGCTACTGAGAAATGAATTTTGCTTTTAAGATAAGTGATTTCAGAAGGGAACATGTTAAGCAAGGTGAATAATGAAGCCGAAGGAAGATGTTTTGGGCCAGATGTGTTTGCTCTGCAATGCTCTTGAGATGGCCAGACAACAAATGTCTTTTGGTTCTGTGCTGAGTGTATTCTTCATAAAGAGAAAAGACTGTTGTGACAGGAGAAATATGATCCCAGCGTGATATTTCTTCCGTTAGCTTAGCTCCGATGAGTTCTCCCAGGCATCAGTGTGATAGCTCTTTCAATGATCAAGATAAACAGCTAAAGATATTATGGGGGGGGGTGTCAGGCACACAAAGCAATTCTGTAGAATTTCTTACCCTAGCATACATTCCCACACCCTGGGTTTTCACAGGAAATGATACCAATGAGAAACAGTGGGGAAGATGCAAACTATTCAGCCCCACCCAATTCTAGCACTTCTTTCTTTATGGCCTGACTCTTTCTGGTAAACTGTTGCAGGCTTCTAGCGCTCCCTGATCCCCACCTCTGCAAAAAGATGCTTTAATGTGAACAGATCCATAAGCCACATGCTTTTCTTTCTGGTGGCAATAATATGGGTGTGATACAATACATGATTCCAATGTAAATTACTTTCAATGTTAGCTGGTTTTGGATTTAGAAAAATCTTTTTTAAAAAAATAATGTTAGTCATGAACAAAACAATGTTTTTTTCATTTTAACGTTGAAATTGCATTGTACCACCAAATATGTATACATGGAATATGAATGGTTTCATAATATGAATAATGTGAAATGGCTTCAAACCTCTGATATTCAATAAGATCATTGTATCAGTAAACAAGGGAGAATGGTATCTGAATAGTGTCATGTAATTTGATAAAAATAGGCATGCCCACATATGACAATTATTTAATAATAACAGGAAGATAGTGATGCAATCTGATAGAGGCAAAAGGATAACTGAGGGCAGGCAGAGACATTGATAGAATGGCTTTTCCTACCCAGGTATCTAATCTTCCAACCCTGAGGGCATTTGTGTGTCTTTAAAGTGGTATGGTGAATTGGTCAATAGTTGAAAAATAGAATGCAAATTGGAAGAGGAAGAAAGAAAAAGGAAGAAAGGAGAGTAGACAGAAAGGAAGCAAGGAACATTTTTTACTTAAAGGTACATTGTTAAAATACTCCTCTCAATTTCTGTCTGAAGTCCCTGTGCTACATTAGAAACAATATATCCAGGACTAAGAGAGGGCCGGGGAGGGACTGCATCTCAGGGAAAATGTAAACTCAGAGTGATAATGTTAAATACACATTACCAAAGCTATTTAAAGTATTTGAGGAAGTGAAGAAAACAAAACCACTGTAAATAATAATTATTGTATTTCTAAGCCCTATTTTCTCGAATGTGTTTCAAGAATACATCCTTTCCAAACTTACATCAAAATGATAACAGTTAATCAAAAGATGATAGGGAACGATGAAAATGTGTGAGTATACGTGCATACGCTCAGATGCATCTATTAAACAAGGTATTGAAACAGTGAAGACTAGTGCTAAGAGTGGTTTTACCAGAGGATTAAAAAAAACACCAAAAACCAATTACAGGGTATGGTGGGCACACATGCACACGTACACCCCCCCCATGGTTTGTCAAGGCAGACATTTGTGTATTTCAATTTGAGCTCTCTCCTCAATGTTTTACCATTGGAGAATAAAATTTAGCTTCCCGGTACAGGTGTTTATTTGCAAAATATGGATTATTATATATTTAGATTGGTGTTTAGTGATGGTATTTTGTGACTTGAAGGCACACCACCACCACCATCCCATGTTTCATGATGACTAAAATGAATGTGTATAAGATTCTTTGAGTGGCATATAACATAGAATTGATAATCATAACTTTTAGATGTTATTAGTGTTCTCTCAAGATGTTATGATGTGCTTTCAATTTGGAACAAACTCATAACTGTCCCTACAGAAGATTTTCAGAGGTTTTTAAATCACACAGGAGGAGAGTGTCTACCTCTCTCCCAGAGAGGACCTAGAGGATTCAAATTGCATGCCCAACAGTTATCAATGCAACTTTGACCACTAGACAACCAGAGCTCACCTCCAGTTAGAAGTCACTAATTGGAGTAAGCCCTAAAGAAGAAAGCTAAATGTCAGTATTTGGTTTTGAGAGAGGCCTAAAAATATAGGCTATAGTATTAATGTTTTGAACAGGGTAGTAGTTATTTTCCAAACTGTCAAAAATTATATGCTGTAGTAGAAAACTTTTTTATATGAATTTTGAGAGTTGAGTAACATCACTTTGCACAACTGGCAACATTTATTGTCATATTTTGACATCACTTCAGTAAATATGCTTTAGTAAGGATATAATAGTAAAACTACTAACATCTCTAATAAGTCGTACGATCTGAAACAAGCAACAATTAGAGCAAAATCAATATTGTTGAATAAGGCGCCATAAAGTCAACTCTGACTCAGAGCAGCTCTATGTAAAACGGATTGAAACTCTGCCCGACCCCATGCTATCCTCACAATTTCCACTGCACTTCAGCACTGCAGTCAATACCACACCACTTAAATTCAGTAGTTTGTTTATTTACTAAAGTTTCCTAATGAATTTACTGTGGAATTCTGTACAATTGTTCAGGAATATGGGCCAGCATATTTACTCAGGTCTGGGTGAAGGTCTGGCATATTAAATCATACTACTTGAAAACATAGCATCTACTTTTACTTAGTATATAGCTGGCTTGTTTAGTCTCCACCCATTCAAATGGTTCTTCTGAAGGACAAAAATTATTCTTTCTGATGAGCAAATGGCCTCAGTTGTTGTTGTTATGTGTCATTGAGTCACCTGCGACCCATAGTGACCCTGTGTATGATAGCTTGGAACACTGCTCTATCCTGAACCAGTTTTACTGACTCCTACACACCTAATCCCATTGCCCACATTACTGTATTAGTCCATCTCATCTGGAGTCTTCCTTTCCTGTGCTGTTCCTCCACCCTTCCAAACATGATGTCCTTCTCCAAGGACTGCTCCCTTCTAGCCATGCACACAAAATATTTGAGACACAGCTTCAAAATCCTTGCCTCCAAGGAGAAATTTGGTTTCATCCTTTCTAAGACAGACCTATTTGTTCTTCAGTTAGTCTATGTTATGTTCAACACTCTTCTCCAGAACTACAATCCTTCGGCATCAATTCTTCTGTCATCCTTAGTCACTGTCAAGCTGTCTGATCCATAGCAAGTAATTGTGAAGACCGTGGATGTATCAGGTGCACTTTAGTCTCTAGACTAGCATCATTGCTCTCTAGCACTTTGGGGAGGTCTCTGCCAGCAAAAATCTCCAGTGCAATTTGTCTTTTGATTTCCTGATTGCTGGTGCCAAGAGTGACCTCAGTAGGCTTGTTTTATACCAGAACTTTGTGAATACCTTCAGCGTAATAATTATTTTCTTTTTTTTTTAAATATATCTGCTCTAGGGGCAGCTGAGTGGATAAATTTGAAAAGATCTAATGGGGACCTAAAAAGACAGAGTAATAGTAGGCATAGATCAATAGTGATTCATTTTATAAACCACAGTGTATGTTAGTGATTGTTTGAAACACAATGTGAATACAGGAATGTGTGAAATGCAATGTATGTGTATGATACACATATATATGAATTTGTTTATGCAAACAAATATAAAATAAAACAAAGTGGAGGGGGAAAAGGAATACCTGCTCTAACTCCACTAACACATGTGCAGGTGAGTAAGTTGGGCTAATGACTCATTGAGAGAGGAAAAAGGCAGATCTTGGAGAACCATGGGACATCTCAATAAGAGGGTCTTAGAAAAGATTCATACAATTTAGGCTTTGCTTGAATGTGCTTTGGGCACTGTCAGAAAATGGGAACAGTTCATTGTTTGAGTATCTAAATAAACATTATTGCTAGGGAAGACAGGCTAGAGCAAAGCTAAAACTGAAATTGGTGAAGAAGTAGCAATGTTTCACTTGTTGAGAGAGGAGAATGTTTGGTATTTAATGGCTTGGACAAGGTTCAGGGTTTGTGTGTGTCGTAAACATTAGGGAGCAGTCCTGTTTCTGTCTTGATGCATTGTGATCACCAAGTGGCTGTCCCCAATGTTTATGACCTGTGAAATTGCTTATGCTCAAAAAGGGAATCCCAAGACCTAAATGGAAGTTCCAGCCCAACTCCTAGAAACATGTGCCAAATCAACTTCTAGAGGTCAGGGACTGCTTTTCTCTTTCAAGTTTAAACTTAAAAATTATTTTGAAGAGAAGTTTATTTATTATTGGGTTATTTTTTTAAGTGCTTTTGAGATGGCTAGGTTTGCACAGGATAGAACAGCGTTTAGAACTCTTGTACATAGGGTCACTATGCATCACAAATGACTCGATGGCACATAACAACAACAACAACATTTTTAATATGCAAAGGACAAATGATAAAGTATTGATATTTATTGAAAACATATAAATAAGAACACTTTTCTTCTGCTATTTCAGTCAAATAATTTTTTTAGTGTCCAGTTAATTTGCACAAATAAATATTGAACAGTCTTTGGGATTGATACTCAGGTGATGGTTCAACAGAAAGAGAAGGAAGCTACTCTAAGTTTAAATGAGAATTCTGGACTAAAAGAAAGTGTTAGGACCTAAATGGAATGAATGAAT